GGGGCAGGCTCAGGGTGGAAAAACGCCCTTGGGTATCCAATCCCTAGGGATTAGCTGAATCCTCGCTCAGTGCCTGCAGGTGATGCCGGCTTGGCCATGCTAAAGTGCCAGCAGGATCCCACCAGCGAGCAGGTTGATGTGGAGGAGGCTCTGTGCTGCATCCCTCCCCCTCAGCCCCACGGTCCCATGGGGGTCCCTTGTTCCCCTGCTCTGGATACCAGAATCCTCTGGCCACCAGCACCCAGTCCTTGGCTTTAATCCTCTCCCAGCCACCTACACATGCGGCTTCAGCTCTTTTCATCTTCCCCCACCAAGAAGCTGGTGCTGGCAGAGGTGGTTTGTGGTGGCTGGGATGCCAGTGGCTGAATCTGGGTTCACTTGGGCATGGGCTGGGATTTGGGCTGGTCCTCCCAGGCCCTCCACTGCTTCCCATGCCTCCAGAAAGCCCCAGGCTGTGGCTTTAGTTTGCTCTTTGGCATGAAAGTGCTGGCTTTCCCATAGAAATTCAGAGGGGGAGAACAGGATGTGATAAACCCCCAAGTTTCAGGGGGGCCAAAGAGCTGTAAGGCAGAAATGAAAGTGAAGAAGGGGGGGACAGACAACGGACAGACCTGGGGCGGTGTTTCCAGAGCCTGTGGTGCAACATCTTCTCCCTCCACTGAACCCTCATGTTTTAGCTGGGAAGGAATGAAACGGGGTTGGGTCGATCCTGCACCCTCAGGGGGATTTTGGAGGCGGGGAGATCCATCTGGTGCTCTGAGCTGCTGCATCACCATTGACTTTGTCCTGCCCAGCACAGTGCTGGAGGGGGAGCAGCAGCAGCAGCACCAGTGAGGGTGTGTTGGGACAGCAGCCGGGCATGTTCCTTCTGGCCCTGCTAATGAGGGGGTTTGCCTGGAAGCACGATGCTTCCTCCTTCCAAAGCTGCTCTCGCTGGTGCCGGAGAGGTGCAGCGTGGCACGGAGCTGCCAGCGGGGCATTCCCAGGGGGTCCCAGAGCTGTATCTCCCTGACCCCAGGCTGAGGTTTCCACCTCAATGGGGGTGATGGCACCAGGCAGTGTGCCAGGCTTGGAGGTTTGGTGGATGGGAGAGGCTGGAGTTGGGGTGGGGAGGGGATGTTCAGCACAGCCAGCAGCCCCCTGGGGTGCTGGTGATGGGGAAAGACAAAGCCACCCCCTTGTAACCCTCCCATCCACCCTCCTTAGGATGACAACTGGGGTGAGACCACCACCGTGGTGACAGGGACTTCGGAGCACAGCATCTCGCACGATGACATCACCCGCATCACCAAGGACATGGAGGACAGCGCCCATCTGGACTGCTCCCGGCATCTGGGCGTCTCGCTGGCCGGGGCGCTGGCGCTTCTCGCCTTCCTCACCCCCCTCGCCTTCATGCTCCTGCCCCAGCTGCTGTGGCGGGAGGAACTGGAGCCCTGTGGGACACCCTGCGAAGGGCTCTTCATCTCTGTGGCCTTCAAACTCCTCATCCTCCTGCTGGGCAGCTGGGCTCTCTTTTTCCGCCGCCCCAAAGCCTTCTTCCCTCGTGTCTTCATCTTCCGAGCGTTGCTCATGGTGCTCGTCTTCCTCCTCGTCGTTTCCTACTGGCTTTTCTATGGCGTGCGGATCCTGGACTCACGGGACCGCAACTACCAGGGGGTGGTGCAGTTCGCCGTCTCGCTGGTGGACGCGCTGCTATTAGTGAATTACTTGG